GAGGAGCCCGAACTAAAGGGAAAGCCATGAAAGGAAAGGTATAGAACGTGCTCGGATAACCATAATCTAACCACTAACCAGCAATCATGCGTGATCCCTACCTCACGGTTAGGTGTCCGTGTGCGGGCTCGGAGAAAATCCAAGATTAATTACCACCCGTGTTCAATAGGCCTCTGATCATTGAGGCTTGGGCATGATTCATTGCTAGAATGGGGTTCGAGGAAGAAAAATATTGCTTCATGAATAGGTTAGCCTCCTATTTAAAACACAAGCCTGCTCTGCTCACATTGATGCTCCTATGATTCTAAGTGGAAGACAAATGAGTGGTAGCAACCCAAAACAGGATTGATACCGGCGATGGATCTATTCTTCTCCTCTGTGAGCATATTTCATGTTTGTCATCTACCACACCAAAACAACATAGGAACGTGCGAAGGCGATAAGTAAAAATAGAGGAAAAAAGACAAAAAGATACTGAGCCCATATGGCAATACCTCAGCGGTAACGTCATTCCGCTCGATATCAACTGAACGAACATGGAAATAATACTTCATTACTACCACATTTCCTTCGGAATGTCAGATCTGTTTGTCGATTTGATTCAAAATTTCAAAGCCTCTAGTGCAGTAACACTCGTAAAATTGTTGGCAGATTACTGAACAGCATATGAGTCCATTAATTATATATCTATCATAGGCAATGATCATATTCCACCTGCTCAGATGATTGCTGCTGTGGCACAATGATTTTTCCAGGTACTGTAAAAATGAAAGGTGGTAAAAAACATTGCGAACCCACTATGACTGAGTTAAGTTTTATATCTGGCCCTGATCGAGTCTCGAACTCTCATCTACGTTCTTCATGAGCTTCATGAAGCAACTCAAACTTAACATATCATACGTCAGCTTGACACAGATTCAGACTATTATGAACATTCTTCCTCACACCAACAATAGGGGCATGAACGATGTTCAACGCGCAAGTTCAGGGCTTGTACTATGGCAGTAATAGCGCTGTTTATAGGAGGAACTCTGATATTGCAATTGGTAACGGAATGAACTGAGATGGGAAATGTAAATAATAAGCTCTTATGAGTGGCATTTAAAGCAAATCTAATGAGAGTAAATACATACACATTACAAATTCAAAAGAGGTACGACTTGAGATGGCTCGAACAAAGCTCTGCAGTGTGGACAGCGCGCTTCACCGTCCCCAGACCATGCATGCTCCTGAAAAGATGAAAAAAATGGCATTTGCTCACATGAACATGCATTTTCCTCATACCTGTATGCAGGTCCAACAGAAAAGATGGCCACAGGACGTTGTTGAGGGTGATTTACTTTCCAAACAAACCGAACATCTGAACCAAGGGTGAAGGATCTAAAAAGTACGGCTTCGATTTTTACATCAAAGACAACGAGATTTATGAAAAGTCAAGCAAAATGGCAGAGCGTTCAGTGCTCAGGTTTTTCAGGAAGAAAGAAGACCATGCGCATTAAGTGGAAGAAGACAGCCGTGGCATGTATATTCCCATCGCGATCATGCGTTAGTACATGCTTCCAACCAAAACCAAAAAAGAGGCCATGGGACCAAGAAGGAATGCATGAGAGCTAGATTCTTTCTAAGGTTGAAGAAAACGGCTACATGGAAATTACACGCCCGGCAGCCGAAGGCAGAAGGTGACCTGAGAAAGGACTTGTTTACAAATTCCGACGGAGGAGCTATAAGA